GGAGGGGGGGAGCATCACACGGGGCGGGGCTGGGGCGTGGCCAAGAGCTGTGGGCGGGGAATACCATGTGGGCGGGGCGGAGGGTGAGACCTGGGGGGCGGTGCCCATGAGCTGGGGGCGGGGCTGTGGGCAAGGCCAGGGCGTGCCCACGAGCTGGGGGCAGGGGACCATGGAAGGGACTTCGGAGAGAGAACTGTCCAAAGCCTGGGGCTGGGACTGCCACTCAAGGAGGACCAGGCTCCAGCCACCTGCTCGGCCACCCAGTGCCATCTGAGGCCAGCCAAGCTCTGGGGACCACTAGGAGTCCCCCAGGCAAGCTGCCACCTGCCCCCAGCCCTTCCCTTACTCACCTTCATGAACTGTTCCATCGATTTGGATGCCAGAGAGTTAGAACGGAAGAGGGTGTTGGGGTCAGCTGGGAGGACAGGGGGAGTGTTTGCTGGAATTTGGGGCTAGACCCAGCTCACCCCACTCATCCAACGTGGGGTCATGATTCTTCCAGCATCAAGAATAAACCAGACCCTGAAACAACCCCATTCACAGGACGGAAGCCCAGAGTGGTTAAGGGAGCTGCCCAAGGTTACACAGTTCATACTGCCAGCATCTAGGGGTGCACAGCCAGGGACCCACAAAACAGGAGCCCCCACCCTCTGCCTGAGGCCTGTCCCTTTCCTCTTCCAAGGACCCTCCCACAGCCCCATGGTTGGGGAGTGACATGGATGCAGGTCATGCAGGAAACTCACTGGTCCGGGCCACCTCACGCCGGGTGAGATAGTCCAGGAAGGGCCCTGCCAGGCCCCGGCCGAGAAAGAGTTTCACCAGCTTGGTGGCCAGGTCTTGGCGACAGTCCCCCGAGGTCAGCTCCTCCAGCAAGGCCAGGGGGCTAGCAGCGTCATCCTAAGCAGGAGTCGGAGGCCAAGACGTAACCTGGAGCCTGGCACCCCGAAGCAGAAGCACCCAGATGGGGGTCCCTGAGGCAGCGTGTGCCCCGATCTGGACTCCGGGACCCCCGGATGGCATCGCTTGCCCGACGCACCCACCTCCACTGGCTGCAGCACAGACCCCACGAGCAGCTCCGTGAGAGGCTGATAGTACTGGGAGGGCAGCACGCGGTCCTCCGTCAGACGCACCTTCAGCCGCAGGGCGCCTAGGTTCCCCCTGGCGGGACCAGGTCACAGGTGATGGGGCACGAGTACGCGCCAGCAGGTGTGGGGGTTCCAGACGGACAGGTGAGAACATGCTAAGGGGCATGGCGAGTCGTGAAGCAGGACAGGCCTGGGCAGCTGTGACCAGGGTGGCCCGTATACGCAGGTGTGACAGCTGTCGTCAGGCAGCTTAATGGGTGTGTGCAGGAATAGACCGTGTGAGCAGGTATAACTACTGTGGGCAGGTGACCAGGAGCGACAGGTGGGGCCTGTGTAATAGACAGGTGTGAACAGAGACGGACAGGTTTAACTAGGAATGCACAAGTGCAGGCAGCGGAAACGGGCGTGTGCAGAAATCACGGGATCAGGTATGAATATCGGAGCCAGGATGAACAGGTGCAAGCAGGTGTGATCAGGTGCGGTCAGTGTGAACAGGCGTGAGCACATGTCGACAGGGAGAAATAGACACGAGGAAGGGTGTGCAGCCTAAACACGTGTGTAAGGGATAGAGCGTGAGCAGGCGTGGGTACTGTGGTGTGGCCAGGTGTGACCAGGTGTGAGCCACGAACGACAGGTGCACCCGGGAATGGATAAGAGGACAGACCATAAGCAGTATGGCCAGCGTGTGCCAGCGTCTGCAAGGATGGGCAGACTGG